ACGCGAAAGGATTACACTTTTTCGCTAAAGTTGGCCAAATCCCAGAAAGGGAATTTTGAACAACCGCCATATATCCCTTTAAAGGGACCTAGTAGTTTCCATTTTCTTTTCCATTATCCCAACATAACCCCTAACATCACCCCTATATCCCTTTAAAGGGACCTAGGGTATCCCTATATAACCTCTATATTAACCCTACATAATATAGCAGTTTCCCTAAACCCTAAACCCTAAACCGGGTGTTTACCGAAGCCTGGTCAGGTTGGAAGCCAGTCCTTCACGGGCGCCGACGGCGAAACGCTGCCGGCGTGGCTGGAGCGCGTTCTCGCCGGGCAGGGCTCTCGGGCTTTTTTGTTTTTTTGTTTTAGTGTGCTTTAATGTTTCTTAATGTTTTTTGAAAGGTTTTTAGTGTGTTTTAGTGTGTTTTAGGGTTTTAGGGTTCCAGGGGTTCTAGTGTGTTTAGGGTTTTAGGGTTCAGGTTTAGGGCTTTAGGGAGCTTGGGGTTCTAGGTTTAGGATTTTAGGGTGCACCCCTAAGAAGGACCCAAGACGTCCTTGTAAACCCACAAACCCCCTCGGGTTTGCAGGGTTCCACTGACTTTGAGAAGTCCAGACAGAGAAGACTGACAATTTGGGCTTGGGGTCACTTTCAACCCAAAGTCAATAAAACCCTAAAACGTTTCAACTTCAGGGTCCATTGTTGAGGGTTTAGGGTTTAGGGATGAGTTGCTGGGCTAATTGTAGGGAGTTTAGGGGGAGTTGGTTCAGGGCTTTGCCAAAGTGAATCACTACCGCACCGGTCAACTGGACATATAGAACCATATGAACAGGATGTAGCAAAGGCACCTTCATCCCCTCAAAGTAATAGGCCTTTTCCTAAAAATTTTCTTTTCCACTCTGCTACATACCCCCATGTGATCTTTCCATCCCTAGAAGTGATCCTAAAGCCTCTCCTTGGGACTTAGCTTGGACCTTAGACCCTTAACCCTTTTGGGATTCCCTTTTAATCCTATTATAGGTACCTAAGGGTCAACCCTTAGTAGGGGTCCTAAGTGCCAAGTAGGCCTGTCAAAGCTTAAGAGCAGGTTGGAAGTGCCAGCCGTGGCGCGTCCAGAGCTCTACGCCAGGCAACAGGGGACCCCAAACCCTAAACTGTGGGAACCCATGGGCTCTAAGTATACTATAGGGTTTAGGGTTTGGGGTTTGCTTTAGGGGCTATGAGTGGCTTGGGGTTTAGGTGTTTTTGGGCTTAACCCTAAACCTTAGCGCAGCATGGTGTAGGCCTCAGGGCTATGAGTGGCTTGGGGTTTAGGGGTTTAGAGGTTTTACATAGGTTTTTGGGCGACTCTGGTGGCAGCCCAGGTGATTGGGAGTCAGTTCAGGCTTTTGAACCTATAGTCCGCATCATTTCCCCTATACTATTCCCCTAGATTCCCCCTTAGCTAAGGTTAATTTGCCTTAATTACTCCGTTTCAGCCCTAGCTAAGGGGAAACCTTGCCTGGGGGCTTACTGTATGGGGGAGAGCACGGGAACCCTGAACCCCAATAGGAAAACCCATGAGTTGAGGTTTTTGCGCCCCCGGTTAAGGCTTCAAGGACAAGATAGGGTGTCAGCATTGTGTCCCAGCCCTATGTGCCCATATCCCATTATATAGGGTATGTATTGGGGTAAATATTGGGATAATGGAAAATAGAATGGAAACTATTATGATGGAGAACCAAATGGAAACTATAGGGATTATAGGCAGTACGTCGAGTGATGTGAAGTGTAAGGGTTCTTTAGACCCAACGGGTCCGTGCAGGCATATAGTGCAGTATATACTTGGGAATAAGCGGTTTCCACAGAATTTCACACTACTGTACATGGCTAGCTTAGGGCTCAAAGGCCTTTCATGTGACTACAGGTATGTACTACATGGCTCGATGGGGCTTACCCCGCTATAGTAGTTTCCATTGTATTTTCCTTATCCCTGTATATTCCCAATATATAGTGAAATCTGTATTCTAGTATATGATTATACTATATTATCATAGTATCTTATTATTTCCAGTATGTTGTTGCAGTACATTATTATCATATATTAGGCATAGTACATTGTTATAGTAGATTATTAGAGTATCTTGTAAAGCTTTGGGAGAGGAAGCTCCTTGCCTTGGCACCGCAGCCTCCGCTTCTCCAGCACAAGAAAAGTATCAAACATGGAGCTCAATACCGCCTCGCAAGATGATGCAGCTTTGCTGAGAATAATCTAGGAGCTGTAGAAGGCAGATTAGGGTTTAGGACTTGGGGTTTAGCTCCTTGCTGTTGTGATGTTTAGGCTTTTTGTGTTTTTCGTAGTATCACCATGAGGTTCCGAACAGCAACCTGGTACTGGTTTAGTAAGTACTTTACTAATTAACACTGGATCATGATGGGCTCTCTGGCAGCAATAAGTATACACACAGTACCAGCAACCCGCCAAGAAGCTCTTCATGCAATGGGTCGAAAGTAGCAGGTATGATGCTCACGACTTGCAATGCAAGCGGCTTGTCCATGTTCGGGTGCCCGTGAAGCAACATCCCACCTACAACCGCTAGTGGGGGCGTCACCCCGTGACGGAAAATCAGCTAGAAAATGTAATCGATCATGACATGGAAACTTTGGATTCTTGAGGGGTCATTGCCTGCCTCTGGCTAGCAACGGATTCAGGAGTGAAAAGAACATTGAAACTGCTGTAGGCTCTTCGGTCCTTAAAAGGAGATCAGAAGAACATGAACGCTGGGAGTATAACGCAGGGGCTATATAGGAAAATACCCCAATAATGGAGAATTACGAAATTAAAAAGAACATGGACGCTTATGTGGAAACCGGTGGCGATATAGCACACCTCGGGCTAGCAAGGAATGAAGGACTGGAAAAACGGGGAAACCGCTATTTGGCCATTATATAGGGACTAAGCACTGTAAGCATCCATTCCTTCACTTGCTAACTAGAGATACGACCAGGGATCCCAAGCAAAAAGGCCCCCTAGGCACTCTTTGCATTTGCAGGGGCTATAGAGAAAAACATTAGGGTTAAGGATTGAGGCTCAAGGTGTTTCTCAAAACAGCTGCGACTCAGTGTGGCCAGTGCGCAAGGATTTTCGGAGGTTGTTGGGGGAGGCCTAAGACATAAAAAAGGCTCGAACGAATCTGATGTCAGCCAAGGTAATGTTGCTCAGCGTGAAGTTGGCAAAGCCGCGGACGCTGAAGGCCTTTGCTCAAGAAGAGGAGTTCGGTACCTTTGAAGGGGACTAGAAGGGGGATAGATAGGGTTTAGGGATTAGGGTTTAGGGCCCCCTAAATTGGCGCTAGATATGCCAGATAACCATCATATGACGAGAATGCCGTCCTTATTTGGGGGGTCGCGGTTGCAATAATCCTCTTGTTTCTGTTTGTGCTGAGCTGTACTGGACCTTGGGGTGAAGAGATTCTGGGGCTTGAGGACTGATTTAGTGAAGAATAAAAGGGAAGATGAACCTGAAAGAGGTTCGTATAGGGTAGGGATAGATTAGATTGTACGGCGTTTCGGTGTGTAAAGTTTCGGCTGCTGGGTTTCAGGGTTCTTGAACTTAACGGGCTTTATAACTAGGAGTTGTGGAGTTTACGGACTGTGAATGTTGAGTTAAGGGCTGAAAGCCCAAGATTCATCATAGTCCTCGCTTTTCCCTTGATGGTCCTCATGGTCCTTTCAATTTCTGCAATCACCGCCAAAAGTTTTGTTTCGCCGCTTCTTCCTCTCTTTGTGCTTCCTTGCTTGCCAACAACTGTATGGAAACTGCTTACCAATCCCGTTTAAACCTCCAACCCTAAAACCTAAAACCCCAAAAACCCTAGACCCTAAACTCTAAACCCTAAAACCCTAAACCCTAAATCCATTTTCCAGGCTTGCGCATGAATGGGACTAATGAAGTATATTGCATCCCTACAATCCCTGTAGTTTCCATTTTCCTTTCCATACTCCCAAAGCCCTGAACCCTAAACCCTAAGCCCTAAACCCTAAACTCCTTTTAAGGGACCTAGGGTTTCCATTTTCTTTTCCATTATCCCAATATAACCCTAAAACCCCAAGCCCCTTAGAACCCTAAACCCCTAAACCCCTAAACCCTAAACCCTTAGAACTCTACATACCCTTATATAACCCCTCATGCGCCGAGAACCTAATATAACCCCAGTGTCTCAGCCAGCCCTGGCAGCCTTCAAGTCGCAATCTTCACCTTTGGGTTTAGGGGTTTGGGGGTTTGGGGGTTTAGGGGTTTAGGGGCTTAGGGGGTTTAGGGGTTTAGGGTTTAGGGTTTTAGGGTTTAGACCCTAAACTTTAGGGTTTAGAGTTTTAGGGTTTAGGGGCCTTACGTTTCGGATCCGGGTGCGCGAGCGAGCCCCCTTTGGGCCGGGAAGCAGGGATGGTTGAGAACTCGGTCTCAGGGCTCTTGGGCAATTTATGTTGTATCGATGAGGGGGCATCATGATGGGATGACTCTTGTAGTTATGTAGATGCCACATTGGGCCCTAAAGCTGTTTGGCCCTGAGGAATTTCGCCTGAACTTGAGGATTTCTCGAAACTAGCAGGGGCCGGTATGGACCACAAGCATGAGTGAGGGTAGCACTAGGGTTTAGTGTTTAGACTTCAGGGTCTAGGGATTACAGGGCCCCCCGCAAGTTCTGAACTTTAGAACTTCCCAAATCTTTTCGACCCTGCAGAAGGCGCTGAAGAAGCAGATCCAGGATGTAGCGAGCGGCGGAACAGCAAAGGTCAAGCAAGAAGTAATGGAGGAGGTGCCACCATGGGTTTTTGGGTTGGGATCGTTTAGCCACACGGTTTAGATCAGGGCTTAGGAATGCGATGCCAATGGAAAGGAGTGTTCCAGTACGTCTCAGGGCTCCTGTACTGCACATGCCGTATCTCGCAGTTTTTTTAGCATGACAGAAACAGCTCAGCCAATGAGGTCAAGAAGGAGAAGGATGCAGTCAAGGAGGAGGAGTTGCCTGCCAAGTTGAAGCAAGAGGCTACATCGGGGGCCGGCAGTAAAGTGCAGCACTGCATCAAAGACGAAGCCCCAAAGGACAATCAGAAGGACATCAAAGGCGAGGTGAATTCAGAAGTGCCTAAGCAGGCGAAGCAGCAGGTGAAGAAGGAGGTGAAAGAAGAGGGATCAGGAACGGTTAAGCGGGAGATCAAAAAAGAAATAAAGCTGGAGGTGAAGACGGAGGCGGATTGCTATGTTCCACACGGGATTTGGTTTTTGATAACTTGTTTGGGGCTTAGGTTACGTGATGGATTGCCAGGTTGTAGAGCATAACCCTGGACCTTGAACTGTACGAACCCTCGGCTGTTATGTAGGGGATATAGGGGTTATATAGGGATTATACAGGTTATATAGGGATAATGGAAAAGAAAATGGAAACTACCATCGGGAGCCGAAGCCTCGTTGAATCTATTGGGGGCATTGTTGGAAAGGATTTCTGCATTGTCTTTAAACCACAGTAGGAAATCTTACATACAGTTTCCTATTTAAACCATTTCCGGGGGAGAACCAGAAGTAAGGATCCCTGAAACCCTTTGAATTCCACATGGACCCCAAACGTATCCCTATGGCCGCTGTTGTCCCGGGTCAGGAGATAGTACTGACGACATGTAGCTGTAAAGATGCACAGCCACTGAGGGCCGGCCCGCCATGTGTTCCACGTTGTGCTGACCTTTTCAATACCTGTTCCGTAGCATTTGTTCCGCAGCTCACAGACAGATCGCACTCACATTCATAATGTATACCTACTGATAACACAACTTTTTAGCACCCATACATTGCTAGAGGGGAACATGTAGCAGTTTCAAGACGCCCCGAAGGGGTAGCTACCCCAAATGCAGTCCATGTCTAAACCAGACCCGGTAATCAGATGTGCCTTCTTGCTGGCAAAGCTACCACAAACCCTAAGCGTCAATCCATGCGTGACGACCGGTTTCAACTGCAGAAGGGTTGGGGTATCAGAGTTTGGGATTCACGTCGGCGATCAGGACTTACCTGCTTGTATTGTAGCCTCTTCAGGCGGAAACTTGCCAAAAGAGGCCCCATGCAATGTAACCCTAAGGGTCCAAGTACCTAATAATCATATACTTACCCAAAACATGTAGTATAATTACTATTACTCAAAACCCAAGTACCCAATTATTGGGTACATGGACCCTCTGGGTAATATGCAGATGGGCTTCTAGCTCCAAATTCCCCAAAAGCGCCGTCCCCAGGAAGCCCTTAAAGCTATGCCCACCAGCCGAGTTTCTACCATGTCAATGCCTGGCAACATGCCAACTTTCAGGACTCACGACTAGTCCAATAGAAGAAGCCATGGCACTGCAAAGCATGCAATCCTCCAAACTACGTCAAGTTCCATGAGGGCCCTCAACACTGCAAGTTTCTTCTAGTACATGGCATAGTCATCCCGCATAAGCATCCCAATGCTGAGCTTACTAGTGCGGACAGGGGAGCTAGAATTGAATCGGACATACTCCCTGGATTGCTTACATAATCCAGGCAGAATCCCCGCTTTTCTGCTACCTGCATTCCTTCCCCACCGCTTCTTCCCTTTTCCTGAAGTAAGTGCTAGGCTGCGAAATCGGAACCTCAAGACAAGAGACCGGGCAAATGCCCAGGTGCCCAGAGGTTTATAGTCCCTCTTAAGAAGATAGAATATGGCTTTGGGTATATTATAATAAGATCCCCATATACCTCATATTCTATCTACTTCAGGAGGGACTATAGGCTGCGGAGCTTACCTGCACTGTGTGGACCCTTGATTTTCAGGATATATACCAAGGAACAAGCGGACACAAACCTGAAAGGTGGGCTCCGTAAGGTTCAGGTAAGCTTTCTGCATGGGTGGTTGTCGAAACTATGGTCCCTTTGTGGATCCCTGTTATAATACGGCACCTAATATTTAGGGTACCCAAAAAGGGACCATATTTTTGACAACCGCCCACATAAACCTTAAACCCCCAAGCAATAAAAACAGGAAGCCCTGAATCCCAAGCCCTGTTGATCCCGTTAAGCCTTTTGTTGGGTCCCTGAAGCCACTAATTCTAGAAGCCCTTGCGTCCAGAGGCGGACTTGCATGGCTCCAGCGTAATGACCCTGCACTCGCACCTCGGCGGTTTAAGGTTTAGGGTTTAGGGAGGTCTTGTGCATCTAAGGTAAGCAGGCTTGCTGTTAAGGAATTCAAAACATGGTTTTCTGGTATTGATGATTTGCTTAAGTTCCGTAACAGCCTACAGAACCTATAAAACCCAGTTTTCGTTTCATGTTCCATGTTCTTTTCCCATTTGCTTCTCCGGTGCCCCTAAACCCTTAACCATCAGGGCGGCAAGAAACATGTCAACATCATGCTAGCGGAGTTTGAGGACTTGGTGAGGGCTTGTTGGTATTTTGTGTTTGTGCCGACTTTTTGCTCCCACATATTCCGAAGTATGAGGCACGCAAAGTATCAGTAAGCTTAAGACCCTGACTGATGACCCTTTTTACTCTCCGCAAAGGATCCTGGGGAGGAGGGTTAAGGGATCCATTTTCCCTCACCCAAACTAAGAGCCGCCCACCCCCCTGTAATCAACATTCCGTCTATTTTGTACTGGTATTATCGGTATTGTATTATGAGGGCATTCATTTCAGGCTGGGGAGCTTTAGAAGTGAGGCTGTAAACCCCGACCCAAGTTTCAAAGCAAACGGTCCCAAGCCGGAAGCCCGAACCCCCAACTTTTCCGGAATGTCACTAACAACAGGCTGGGGTCCATATTTGCCATTCATAGAAGCTAGTCTGTGGTTTTGAACTGTGTCGTAGTCGTAGAATCATGTGTATATACTTTGCTAGGATGCTTTCGCACGTAATCAAGTCTGGGACTTATGATAGACGGCCGGACATCTACATTGTTTTGCTGCACACCCTGCCGACAAATAAGGACTGGAGTGAAGCGAGAGAACCCTGGATCTGAAAGGCTCTGCGTGAAGCCGGAAGTCTCCACGTGTTCTCCAGGCCGCGCTCCGCAAAATGTATGTCAACCCAGGCTAACTTAGTTTTTGTGTTTCTAAGTGTGCGAGTTCAACTGAGGCCAGGGTCGGCCGAAACGACGACGCATGAGCCAGAAGGGGCCGGACTTGTCAGTTCCGTCTTTTGAGTCGCAGCTGCCAGTGTGGGCGGAGAAATGCCTAGCATTTCAGATCTCTGGCAAAACGTGGCTCCCAACCAAGCCCTGCTGCCCGGCAAGCTTGTTTGTCGGTCTCGGGAAGGCTCCATGGCAAGAGAGCGAGGAGGTGCACCCAAAGCCATGCGCGCAGCGTCTAGGCAAAGCTCAGCTCCGTGAGTTCCGAGCCTTCTTCCGCGAGCAGCCGCACCATGCGCTCCTCAAGAGCATTGCTGGTCCACTAGAGAAGGCCTCCAGGCCTAAACCTCTGAGCTCAAAGCCGCCTCTCGGAAGGCCGGCTGGTGGCTCGAGATGGGAGTGTTACAAGATGTGGCCCTGGATGCGTGACCTTCCCACACGGCTGTGGATGGGCAATGGCTGGATCATGGAAGAGGACGGCATGCGCAAGCTGGAGCCCTCCGAGCCCGGGGGCGCCATGCCAGGCGTCCAGATCTTCGAGTCCGTAGGCACCGCCGTGGACGAGTCCCAGAAAGATGGATCTGAGGTGCACGCAGCCGAGCAAGGCCAGGCCACCACCAAGTTCCGGGGCCTGGAACGCCAGAGCGGTGTTCCAAACATCCATTGGCACCGGGAGATGCTAGTATGGCATCTGCAGTGGCTGGAGTCGGGTAAGAAGAAGAAGATCGGGTTCTCGATCCGCAAATTCCTAGAGCAAAGCCTCAGTGAGGACGAGTCCGTGGAGGCTGCGCTGCGCGAAGCCAAAGCCCACCGTGAGGAGCTGGTGCGGAAGGGCGTCCTCGAGCCACCGAAGGCCTTAAACTCAGAGCAGGGCAAGTGCTCCACGGTGGTTGGAGTAAGTTTTCACAATCAAAGAAAGAAGTGGCAGGTGAGGTTGCCTGATGCTGGCAAGAAGAAGACAGCTTGGGGCGGTTACTTCAGCAGCCAGGAGGAGGCCGAGCTCAAGGCCAGGGAACTCGCCAAGGAGCTGGGCATCAAGGACATCGAGCACAAGGTGGTCCCGGTGAAGCATCTCTCGGAGCTGAAGCAGTTCGAGCCGCTGGGCCCCCAGCCAGGAGTCAAGTGGAACCTCGGCGAGCAGTGCTGGCATGCCAGGTGCGGTGTGGCTGGCAAATCGCGGCACATGCGGTGCAGGCCCAAGGACTTCTCGGAGAAGGAGGTGGAGAAAGCCTGGAAGCAGGCAGTGGCCTGGCGCAAGCAGCAGGAGAAGGAGCGGGAGCAGGCTAAGAAGCGCTGAGGAGGATCTTGAGAATGCTTTTAATACCTGAAGTAGGCTACCAAAGATCCGTCATGTCTTTGCAGCACAGCAAGGAAGCGCTGATAGGCGCTGCCATCCTTAGATGCAAAGCTGGTTGGACCGTAATGCCTCAAAATGGGGTCTGAGTCTTACTTAAGCATCCGAAAAGAAGCAGCTGTCATATTCTCAGCGGTCAACCCCATTTTTGAGACTACTCCACTCTCTCTACGAAAAGATGGCGCATAGCTATCTGTTTCTACGAGATCACGGACTACCTCATGTTAAGCCAGGTCTGGGATTTGTAGGGAGTGATGGAGGGTTTTCGTTCCGCATGAACATCTGCACAAGGATTCTGTTGTGGAAGGTACATCTTGCCCCTAAACCCCAAACCTGCCTCAGGTTCAGGCACCAATCCCTAGTCTGCATGCTGCCCTCTGCGCAAAGTTGCAGTCAGATCCTAAACCCTAAACCCTAAACCGTGTGCAGTTGTGGGACTCCATGACTTCTGGTTGCCCGGAGTCCTGTGATTTAGAACCCCAACGCCGAAAGGGGTTCATACTTCAACAGATTTTGGGCCCGAGTTCCACAGAGTATGAGATCTTCAGGTGATTTTGAGCCTTTGGAGAAGTGTTTGTGGACGAACTTCGGGCTGCAAGGGGCACTTTAAAGGCAACGTGGCATTTGTATGGGGGAAGGTCCCAGACTTAAAGTAAGTACTGGCAGTCTTTATTCATTCGAATTATGCTGTGGTCTGTGATTTGGAGTTGATGTTGGATGGTGTAGGGTTTCTCGGCACCGCGGCGTCATCCTCCCTAAGTTATTCACCATGCCTGACCTGCAAATCATGATGAATGCAGCATGTTCAGGTGCAAAACCGTGGTACATGTTCGAGCAGCAGAGCATCACGGTTAGTCCAAGAATCAATCCCATACAAGAGAGCCTCTACTTGACCAGAGCATACTTAAATTCACCGAAGCTATGATGCAGTAGGGCCTATACACCACAAGCTACTACTCATACTAGCCCCTTGCTAGTCCGGACTGTACAGTAATGATGTGTTATTATACCCTAAACCCAAAACCCCAAACCCCCTAAAACCTATATGTTGTCTCCTGTTCTTCATCTGCTCTTCTAGAGTCAGCCTTCCTCAGCGTCACAAGCGCAGATTTTTGGGTTTAGGATTTAGGGCTTTAGATCGTATTAATGTCCTTGGGTACTGCCCCCGCTCGGTAACAGTTGGATAATGATTAGAATATGGTTATATATAGCCCTTAATAGGACCCCTAGTATAGACTGTTACTGGGGGGGCAGTACCCAATAATGTCCCATACTCTCCATGCAAGCCCTCAAATGTGGACAGGAGCTATTTGATCTCTGCGGTGTTGCCCTCAGGTAGTGGATGGTGTTAGGCGTCTAGCCACGGTCGAGTATTCATGACAGATTTGCGCTAAATTTCCAGCGCCTCATCCAGTATTGAAGTCCAAGATTTAGAGTCGCTGAGGGTATCAACCCTGAACCCTTCCAGCTTGCATTGCAGTTGACGAAACATTCCAGACTGGGTGTATATATGAGCTATAGTCTAAACTTCCTACATGGGGGTTACATAGGTTGGTGTATAGGGGACTACTGTGAGGCTTATTAAGCGGGATACTAGGAGTTTAGTCCCTCAACCCTAGATAAATTATATGGGGTTATAATTAAGGGGGATAGTAGGATTTTAGACTATAGCTCATATGTTTGGGGAGCAGTGCCCTGATCCAGAAGCCCAGTGGCGTAGGGAGGCTTTCCCTGTCACATGCGAAAGATGAGGGATTAGAATCGCCCAATGCAGGCAATACTTACAGAATTTAGGGGCCAATGTAGGGTCAATAGCTGCAGCAAAGTGTAATAGGGGTTATACATGGGTAATGGCAAAGACAATGGAAACTACTACGTATTTAGGATTTTAGGGTTTAGGGTATACTTGGATCCCTAGACTGGGTAGGCCCCTGGGATATTTAATATTTTCCCGAATGGCTTTAATAGGGGGGCCCTATATACTAATATTTTTCAATGGGTTTTAGGGGCCAACCTAGTAGAGAAAGCTGGAAGTGCAAGAATCTATGGACTCAAGATCCAGAGCCCTGAGCCCCATGCACAAGCACCAGTGGACCCAAGGCCCCAAAATGTGGGTCCTTAAAGTGGGTTTAGGGTTTAGGGTTTAATGTCTGTGCCAAGAAAGATAGGGTCTGTTGATTACCACAAGAAGGACTCACTCTGAAAGAGATTCCGCTGCTCGTACGTGGGCCAATGATAGCGCAACAATTCAAAAATGGAGGACTGGCATGGTGATAAGAACACGACATGGCTACCAAGCCCCACAAGCAATCATCAGCACTTGATGGGGCATGGTTTTTCAAAGCCCATGCCATACTTGCAATATTCCTAGGAGACCGATCATGTGCTCCCTTGTAAGTATAACTACTCTTCGGAAATTCTGCCAATCTTCTATCCTGTAATACCCTAAACCCTACACCCAAACCCAAATCATTTTTGAAGTCTTACACCCGAATTCTTCAACTTGATAGCCTAAAATAGACACCCTGAGCCGCCTAAATCCTCCTGGGGACTTAGCTTGGACCTTAGACCCTTAACGGGGTTATATTGGGGGTCATATTGGGATTATATTGGGATAGTGGAAAATACAATGGAAATTACTAGAATGGGTTTATATATGTACCTAAGGGTTAACTCTTAGTAGGGGTCCTAAGTGCCACGTAGAATCCTGAGGGTCGGTGTGTCTGAGGACTGCGCACACGGGGTGCATCCGAACTATATGGCCAAGCACCAGGTCTCCGGGCGCTGGGGTTTAGGGTCTAGCGTTTATACTTAATTTGGTAGTTTCCTAAAATAAGGGGACCCCAATGTAGACCCCAAAATATTATAATCCTTAACATTGGGACCTCCAAAAAGTACCCCTAATTGACTTCATTTCTCCTTGGGACTTAGCTTGGACCTTAGACCCTTAACCCTTTGGAATTCCCTTATATTCCTATTATAGGTAATTAAGGGTTAACCCTTAGTAGGGGTCCTAAGTGCCACACAGATTTGTTGTCTTCACAGGTTGAGGCTCAGGATTTGTTTGTGCTTTGGGGGCTTCATGCGGTTCATGGTTTGGACACGGTTGCGGAGGATTAGGAGATTAGTAGCATATCGGGGCTATTTATGTAGGGGTAATGGAAAATAAAATGGAAACTACTATAGTTTAATAGGGTATCTATTTGGCTTATATAGGGGTAATGGAAGAGACCCTAAACCCTAAACCCTAGATGGAAACTGGCATCGATCCGAGTCCACAGCCGAGGGGTCTTCTCTGAGGGCCTATATAACCCTAATATATGGAGGTTTCCCCAAATTAGGGGGGCACCTTTTTCGGGGTCCCTATAATAAGGATTATAGTATTTTGGGGTTTATATTAGGGTCTCCTAATTTTGGAAAACTACCATTAAACCATTATAGTAGTGTCCATTCTATTTTCCACTATCCCAAAATAACCCCAATATAACCCCAAATATAGCCCTAGTATTATCCCAATGGAGGAAGCTGGATGTTTGGTCTCTTTTTGCTGAAGACTTGATGCTACGTAGCGTTGTGAGGCTTATATAGAAAATGGTCGATCCATGCACGGAGGTACCATATCTATGTATGTACATATTTCGAAAAAAGCTGCTTAGGCTTTGACTCCCGCAGGGGCTCGCTGCACCAGAGACTAGGTTAATCATGATTAGAGACCTCACACATTGAAGCGCGACATTGGGCGTTCCGAACCAGAGTCTACACGGGAACCCGTGAGGGTTCCGAAAGCTGGTCTCATGTGTTGGAGCTTCAACTGGGTTGCTGTTAAAGAAGCTAAGTTACCATAATATGGGTCTATAGTAAAGAATAGGGTTTCCTCAAAATGGTAGCTTAGAACAAGTTCCTCAGCAGCCCCCTGACCAAACTCGAGGCTGACAATCCCTTTCACAAGTCATCAATTTTCCTGAAGTCCTCAGAATCCAACCCTAAACCCTAAACCCTAAACCATCCAAAACCCTGTTGACCGAGTCCTAGACCTCAACCCACAGTTTACCCGGAGAAAGCCTAAACCCTCAACCCTAAAGCGTATGATATAGTGTTTAGGGTATGGGTTTAGGGTTTAGGGTTTAGGGTTTAGGGTTATGATATAGTATTTTCCATTATCCCTACATATCCCTTTAAGTCCCTATGTAACCCCTTTTGATCCCCCCTCAAACCAAAAGCCTAAACCCCTAAACCCGAAACCCTAAACCCTGAAGCCTTAAACGCCCCCTTGCTATCCCTGCTGTGTACAGGCTGAACACCGCGGGGGACTTGGCTTGGCTCTTGCGCTTACTTTGAAGAAGGGATTTTTAGCGTTGTATGGGGGAATATGGTAGTTTCCCAAAACTTGGGAACCCCAATATAGACGCCAATATACTATCGTCCTTATTCTGGGGACTCCCATAAAAATATCCCTAATTTTGGGAAGCACCCATATATATCGGATATATAGGGGATTATATAGGGCTTAGATCTGGTTATATAGGGATATGCAGGGTTTCAGGTTCAGGGTTAAGGATTTGGCATTGGGGGGTTGGGGTTTGGGGTTTAGGACGTTACTTGCCGGGTCCCTTTATCTACGCGGGTGGTTGTCAAAATTATGGTCCCCTTTTGGACCCCGATTATAATATGGCACCTAATATTTAGGGTAGTCAAAATGGGACCACAATTTTGACAATCACCCCTATATTACCACATAATCCCAATATAACCCCTATAATCCCTGTAGTTTCCATTTTCTTTTCCATTATCCCAAAGCCCTAGACCCTAAACCCTAATCCGTAAACCCTAAACCCCTTTTAAGGGACCTAGGGTTTCCATTTTCTTTTCCATTATCCCAACATAACCCTAAACCCACATGAGCAGGTAACAAAAACCCATTTTGAAGGGGCCTTGCACCGCAC